CGAATTCTGCCTTCAATTCATTGGCACTTGAAGATGAAAATGGTTTTCTTTGGCACATTCTAGTACAAGGGACAGCGGCAGAGAACTCGGCAGCTGATTAATTATAGAATGGCTTTTGGATCAAAGAAAAACAGGGATGATGACATACGTTCGATGTTCTAAACGTTTCCAAGCTTGAGGTTAAGACCAACACAACTTGGATCATGTCTGAACTCAGTTCGATTCTAGTGCAAGCACTTTTTGCGATTGTTAGATAAATAACGAAAATTAATACCAGTGAACAGTTCTGATGCTATCCTAACCAGACTAATTCCCCCATGGTTTTCGCGCAAATCAGACCACCAAAACACGCCGACTTGGAATTTTTCCCTTCCCCCATATCAAACCTTGTGGTTTTCTCAACTTTGTGATGATGCTGGGCCACCATCTTTGGAAACAGACAGAGGTAAAATATCCGGTCTACCAGTTTTATGTCATTTAGAAAAGCTTATCTGACGGATAGCTTTCACCACTAAAGAAGAATTTGTAACTACACTCAGTACTCGATGAATCTGATATGGATGAAGGACCGAAAAACTTTCCTAGAAATGATCCGGCAAATGACCTGAACTACTCTCCGGAGTCTGAATTAGTGAGCCATTTGCCTCTTTTATCAGTTCACTAAAGCTTGGCTTTCGTGGACTGATATTTCTAATTAGACTGAAAAGCTTGCCGCTGTTGCCGATCATCGCATCCCTATTCGTCTCTGTGCACTTCACAATCCATCACTGCCCACGGTCGTTTCTCAGACTCTCTGTGTCAGTTGGTATCTGAGGCCTTTCTGTGCTTCATTCTATCCGGAATATGGAAATGTTGATCAGCGCGCATATAACATTGCAACTGAGAATACACGTATCCAATCTTTCCTGTGTGTGTCCTGCCCTTGGTCCCTGGGTAGCGTTAACAGAGCCTCACTTAGCATGTCTTCGTGCTAGCAACATGCGAATCGCAGAGGAACTTCCTATGGAGCTATCTAGCTGTAAAAGCTTCAATTATGTAGTATTTATTTTTTGTTTATTCCAAAGTGACCATGATCACCTTCCCTCCTTTTGGCTGAAACATGAGTTAACTAACTTGCTGGAGTCCTCAGTACACCACAACACAGTACTGCCTCAAGCCGAGCATTGCCGACCTCTATCTACCGTTCATCTTGTTCCTGGGCATTCGAATATGTCGATAATTTGATGGATAATTTTGTTTAGAAAACAAATCAATGGTAATGACCCACCAGCAGCTGAGGAGAAAGGTTGACTTTGGCTTTGGCTCTTCCATCGATGTGAAGTAGATTAAAGTGTGCGCAGACAAGAATTGATGAGTTTTTTCAGATATGAACTAAAGAGACCAACAATCTTGAATTTATCATCACCAGGAGTCCATTTGAGTTCGGCGCTTTGAAAGTGCATGAGGATGCAGGGTAAGGTAATGCCACTTCCTGTGCGAGAACTTTGTACTCTAAGAATATTGTGTAGTTGAGTCGGTCACCCTTATCGATTCGATCAAATGGGACGTCAAATCGGTCTCCTATATGCAACCCTGTCTTGTCTAGGGTTCCAACCGAAACCGTCAGCAACAACCTTTATGTCCGTCGATAGCACTTTGTAGAGCAGTTGAGACAAAAACTGGCCGAAATCAAATTTGGTCTCAGGAGATCCATGGCAAGTTGGGGGCGTAAAAAAGCCAAACAAGCTTCGGTTTTCCAGCCTGTTGTTGTTGACGTACTCAGAACCACCAAGAGAACAGCACAAAAACCACTGGTGACCGGGATCCAGTCGAACTATGCACAATCAGCCTTCATACTTAGAGAGATGAAAACATCAGCTTTATCACAAGCACTTGACTCCAAATCGCCCGACACGCGAACAGTAAAACCAGAAGAGGTGGTAGCATCTAGGGCGAGAGGTGTTATTGCCGAAATTAGGTCTTGCCTGTGTGTTTCGGAGAGATAATACTCTTCTATTTTAGGGTTCTAGGAGTCTCAATTGAGGTATCCCGTTGCCTTGTTTGGCAGTGTGTGAACTTTAAAAGTTGCTTAGTGAAGTTCATACCTGGAGTTGAGAATTGATGCTTCATTTCCATTATCTCTAGGTTGTTTTCCTTACCAAGAGTTGCGGATTCTCTGTCACAGCTCGTTGCGGCTTCTCGCATCTATTTAGAATTGGGATGCATAAGACGAACAGCAGAGAGATCAATATTTTGTGTGGGAGCGCTGACGACGTCAGAGTAGTTTATACTGCACCGCTGTCCACGCTGAGGAAGTTCTCCTTTTGGAACCGTAATCGAGGCTTTTGATCCAAAAGCCTGACCTATAGGGCAGTGAGGCATTACCGTAGCACGCGAAAGCAACCGAAGTACTTGTGAAGGAACTTCTTGTCTTCCATATGAGATATGATTGTTTGTCTTATATTGTTTTGTCTCCGTGGGTGCTCATTTAGTAATTCACTTTTCAAATTCAGTCTTTAGCCACGTGCGCTCAATGGGGTGAGCGGAACGTGGACGGGACACCAACCGGAAGGCTACCTAGGAAAGAGGACGACTGCTGCCCAACGAAGTGCTATGAATTCTTCTCCTATTTTCGAGATAAATCTAATTACCGCACTACTACATCGACCTAGTGGAGGTTTTTTTTCAAACGGTAAACTGCTCCTGTTCGTGTTTATTTGTTGCTATGTGCTCCGCAGGGGAAACTCAGCGCTGTGTTAAGAAAAAAATGGAACGGAAATGATATTTGAAAATTCTCCTTACGCTCAGTTTGTATATTCGACGTATGCTCAAATCTGGTAAGTTCTTTTGTCAATTAGCTGCGTCTATTTTTGCTATGCAGGGCGTCTGTGAAATATGAAAAGAAACCGAATTGGAATATTTTGCAATTAGCTTCCTGCAAAATGCCTATTTGAGGGTTCTCCATCTACTCTGGGATTCATACCCAATGGCTTAGCCGGTTCACGTCGAAAAGTCACTTTTTATCTGCTTAAATTCCTACTAATTGACACTAACGTTGGTACAGAAAATTAATGATGTGAAACTTCTCTAATTAACCACATCCTCAACCCAAGGCGAGAACGCATTGCCTTTTTCTTCTCTTCAATGGCAACTGGTAATCAGTTTCAAAAACTAAACATGGTCAGTACTAATAACTCCTTGGTTATTCAAAGAAGTCAATGTGTGTGATGTTGGTATTAGAATAGAGCCATATTTCATGCACGAAGCGGTACCATTTGTAGACCAGCGCTTTCTATGAGAAAACAGTAACTTCGGTCAGAGAGCACAGATGGCGGAAAAGTTAGAGCTTGTACTCGGATCACAACGAAAAAAGCACTGCATTATGGCGGCGACTGGCATTTCCGGATAACCGGGTTGTGTCACAAATTCTGATCCAAAACTTGCTCGCTTTCTGCACGTGATTCAGTGTGGAAAGCTTCGGAGTGATTCGTACCATAACAATAAGCTGTACGTTCTAGGAACATTGATCTACGTTGCATCACCTGTCGCTTATACGATCCTCTGAAATAATCGATATTCTGCTGAACGAAATATGTGATATTTGATAACCAGATATCGCTGAGTCTGACCTGCTTCACTCAGACGAGAGCAGAAAGCACCTGAAATACCCACCGAAGATTTTTTTTACTCGCCTGATATCGAAAGGGGGATGCGAAGATTTTACACTGGATAAGGTGATTTTCGTATCACTTATTGTGTCGATATTCCAGTCAATATAGTCAGTGTTTTGAAAAATATTTGTGTTGAGGTCAGTCATGTGAGATGAAATTCTATTTGGCGATATCCTAACAAAACTGCCATTTCAACCCGCCCCCATTTATCAACTCAGTTGGAGTGGTCCGTTTTCAATGCTAAGTTATCCCTATCGTTTTGAACCATTTACTTTTTCCTCTTTAAGCTAGAAATAATACGGTTGAGATTTACAACATTTCACCTCCCCGATCACTTGAACCGAGCCGGTCAGTTTATTCAAAACCTGTTGTTAAAACCGAGGTCAAATATCTCCAAGATATATAAATTAATAAATGTTTCCAGTACGAATGTGACAACAGCGGCCACAGACGTTCTCAGTAGCAACACGTAAGTTCATTTCCTCGTTTTTACCATCCGTTTGATTGGTGATTTTCAACCAATTCCAGGTGTTTTCTTCAAGCATCAGTTCCAGCTTTTCTAAATATTAAGCTCACATATATATGCTTTTCTTTTGGTTGATGCCTTGTAACTTTGTGAATTTCAGAGGAAATCAAATAGAAGCGTTAAAAGAAAGCAAAAGTAGTTGAAAGTGGAGATCATAGAGGAGAAAGAGCTTGGATACAACTAAGTTGCTCAACGAGGCACCTATCCATATCACGTAATTTATCCAACCACCCGGTAGGGATATCTCATGAACCCCAACTCTGAAACCTAAAGCCTCCTAATGGACCATGTCCAATGGTTCAAGTTATCACAGATTTTGCCCTGTTTTGGACCGAGGAATTCGAATAACCTTCCAAACTCTAACTCTCTTGGACGATAATTCATAACGAAAGAGTTTATTTCCGGGCATGCGTAAAAGTTGATCTGAATCTCATATATCTAGGCTCAGCGCTTGCTTTAGTGGCTATAGCCTGGTTTACATCAACTGCCGTCTTACTCCATAGTTGGTGATACGATGTTTCCGCGATATTCCAGCCATACAACAAGTACATTGAAGCTTAAACACCGACATTCTTCGCATCTCTGGTATCCGTAACGGCTAGATCTCAGAGCTGTATAAAACAACTAATATAACTGTGGCAGACATAAGACCCTTGACAAATATTTATCATTTTCAAGGTTGCACTCATTCCAGTAATGACACGCTATTGAAATCCATCTCCCTGTTTTATCAGCTTAGCAAATAACTCATAGTACCTCCACACGAAATAGTACCACTCATCAGACTTTCAATAAAGCAGTAAAGTTCAGTGTGCGTAACTCACCCGACGACTTCTTCCGTGAAGTTAACCTGGGTACGTTCGCCTCGAATTCACCCTGCACGTTTCCAGGTGGGGTGTAATGCCCTACCATGAACATCTTATGACCGTCTTTGGTGCTAGCTCGTCCGAATCCCGCGTTTGTCGTGTTCTTCCAGATCACCTGACTAAAATGACCTGAATTGTCAGACGTAAACATGTTATCTTAGTTCATTGTAGGAAAAAAACCAAGCTGACGCAAACAAATCACCACATCTATTTGGGAGTCAGTGACCAAAGGATATTGAATGCGAGATCAATAAAACAGAAAGTAAATATATATCACTGTTGTAACTGTGTACTTTCTTTCCCTCTCAACAGTGCATTTGTAACCCAGTGCATTGGCTTTCATGGTGACGTAATTCTACGGGTGTTGCCTTAGGTGCCAGGCAAACTGGCCCCTCAGTCGCACATATAATGTTTGCACAAATTGCTAGATAGTTCCAAAGAATTAGTGTTCAAAAGAATCCCTGTAGACTGAGTTCTTGATGAAACCTTCATTCTGACTCCATGAACAACGTTGGATTTTTATTTGCTCAACAGTTTCCCGCAAGCGAGAATTCAATTACAAGGTTAGTAGGTGGATCCTGATATTGTGCAGGTAAAGGTTGTTCTAGAATTCCAAGGCCTTCAATTCCCGCCTAATTTGCTTTTGAACATGGTAATAGTGAACGGTTTTGAGGTGACTTACCGTGTGATCAAAATATCTTTTTACTAGTTGTAGGCAGTAAAACGGTAACTCATTCACCGCCACATGATCCTTTTGAATGTCCTACTCATTGTTTGGTATAGCTGAAGATGCATAGACCAGACTGCATAAAGCATGCCTACAATGACTACTCTACTCGAGTTTTCATGCCAGATAAATGAGAATGCTTGGTATTTAAGTGGATACTGAAGGTAATATTTTTGTAGAAAAAGTAGTATGACTTCCGAACAGAAAAACTCATTGTTTATGGTTTCTGGATAGTTAGGAAGATAAATAATCTGATCTTTGAACCGGTAATATGCAACGGGTAATCGACACGGCGTTTGAATTAGAGACACAAAAGATTGCTTTTTATGCAGCAGACACGTGAATCTGAGTCTACGAGCCAGAGGAAACTCAAGGCCTAGTATATCTGACTTTAACCAACTGAAAATCTGATATCTCCTACACCAAGTTAAGCAGATTCGTGGTAATATAACTTCATAGACTGGAAAACAAACGATAGAATAGCGAAATGCAAATTATATGTATTAAAATTTGATACATCGTCATGACTTTTACTCAACTATGTTTTGCAGTGAAGTGAAAACATGGTATGATTAGTTTCAATTTATTCTGCTCATTATTTTGGTATACATATAGTGTTATACTGTTTACCCGGTTCACATTATGGTATCAAACAGAAGCGTGTTTTAGTTAAAATCTAACAGGCCGGCCAATAAAACTACATGTGAAATGACTCCGCATTACATGCTCAAACCGCACTAACACATGCAAGCCTTTCCTCTTTTAGTAATATGGATGAATGGTCGATAAAAATGATGAGAAATGCAATTGTTCGTTTTGTTCCCATTCATTCAAAAGTACGCATTCAACTCATTCGCAATTCACCGCTCAGAGATCACATTTAATCAGTTACACATGGTGTCTAGTGTACTCCACTTGTTGTTGTTGTTGTTGTTTTTGTTGAGTATTTACACACAAAGTACGAGGTTCAGATCGAGCAATGAAAACCATTCAAGGCTTGAGTTGACTGGAGTTCTTTTTGTGCAACTCGTGACCTATTAGTCTTGTACTGTATAACTTAACTGGCCTCAGTTGCGGTTACCTCGTGACATCAAAACAAATATAATCAACTGATTCCTATTTGTGAAGAATTTCTGACTTAAGAGGTAGCATCCAGCATTGTTGTGGATGTAAGCGGGGTTTATGGGTGTGCACCTGTAACCTAATTTAACTTTTTTAGGTAAGAACTTTATGATTGTGTTGCTTTTTCTACAGTTGATGCACCCTCGATTCGGATCCTCAGAGTATCGTGCATTCTGGTTTATGCTCAGTTGTGCTGTCAAAACTAACTGCTAGAAAATCCTTTTCACTTACTGAAACATATTCTACGGAATGGTGTGCTGTAATTTTTTTATTATTTCCAGCTTTAGTGTGATTTATTCAGCTGACCTGATCCTACCGATAGATGGTTCATAAGTTCCGTTGCTAAGTGCATACAGAAACACTTGCCATTTTCACACACAAAGGAAGACGGAACAGCTGAACTAGCTTGGAAGTTCATAAATAGCGGTAAAGATTAGTTACTTATTAAAAAAGCGTCGTGAAGTAGATCACTCTGTCATTTGGATGCTGTGCGTACTAGAAGGTTATCCTTTCGAAGAGGGTTTCATCGAAGCTGCTTGAATTTTCTGATAATTTAAACTCATAGCGTCACCCACACAGTAACCAAATTTCGGTAGATCGATGAAAAATGTTCGTGGACTGTAACTTGGGCGTCAGTAATTAAAGCACTGGTACTATACTTCTCCTTTTTATTCAGCGTGCACTGGCTGTTTGGGTTGCTATTAAAAAGATATAACTAAAGTGGTCTGATAGATCACAAACAAAATAAGTCACATTCTGAATATGATTTATTTACTCGTCTTTACAAGTCTCAGTGCGTCGGCAGAATTTGTCGCGTGGTCATTGTTATTCCTACTGCATCACATGACAAGCTTGAGTGGAAAAGATAGCCGCATACGACCCAGCGACAAGCTGCATCGATGATCAGCACGTATGCAGATCCACACACACACACACACACACACACACACACACACACACACACACACACACACGCAAGCATTCCCACAGTGGGAAACGCATGTGCGCATTACCGCATATGGACATTGCCGTTCCGGCTTAACCCCCTTGGCCAGATTTCTAGACTTCGATTGGCACTGACAACAAAATACATTTCGAAGTTCAGTTATTCCTGTGTCAAGAAAAATTTGGAAACCGGTTCCGGAGCAGTTGATGAAGTTGTTGTTGTTGTTGATGACGCCATTGTTCATCCGAGGACACAGAAAATACTTGTTATGCACAGCGACACATGTTTTCATTTTTGCTCGAAAACAAAATTCCGACCAAAGACAGAAAATTATAAATGACAACTCATTCTAGCATATTTGACTCAACTGTGTTTAAAAGGTGATCTTTTACAAACATATCCATCTAGTTTGGCTGACTTGGTACACTTGTTAACTATGCGATTTTGGAATGGCTTTTCTTTCTGAGAAGAATCTCGTTTAAGGTGAATGATCACGACTTTAGTACATTTCTCTGACCACGATTTTTCCTGTAACGTTGAATCATCAGGTATTGACATTTTCATTACTCCAGCATATCGGGTTTATATTGAAATGTTACTGAGTCTTTAATACCGATACTACGGGCACACCCCGAATGTGTTGTGGCCTTTTGCTAATGTCCTGAAGTGAATCACTCGACTACTTAAATGTAAACAAAATTTGTGTGACGGACAAAGTGATACCATATCGACCACCGTCTTTGTGAAAGCAAAACGGATACATAATGACCAAAGATTTCGAAAAAACTTGAGTTCACGTGCGCATATGGATCTCCGTGGCAACTTAGAGAGCCGACCATGGAGTGGATTGCCTCAACTAGCAACACATATAAAGTATACGTGGCCATTTAAAGAGTCATCGGCCGCAGACGAAGCAGATCCGACCGATCAACAATCTCTCCGCCGGAAGAACTGTGCAGACTGAACGATAACGCAGGCTGTGACTCTTAGGTCAAGACAATTCCATCTAACTGGATATACAGCCACAAATTAGTGGGGATGCGTTTAAGCCACGGAAAACCACCTTGGTAAACAAACGGTGGGAAATGAGCCACCCAAAGTTTGGATTATCTGACTGTCTTGCAACACAACTGTATTTCATAGTTTTGTACTACATGCTTGCGCATGAGCACCTCAAAGGCCCCCTGCACTATTGGGGATAATCGGCAACCATACCCTAATTTATTGGAAAACCGTACAAGGTCCCGATAAGTCCGGTGTGGTGACGAGCCTGACGACAGTGGATCCCTACCTACTACGAGGGCAACCGAAGGTGGTGAGATTCGAACCACTGACCTACGACGGGGTTGGCAAACGTTCTAAGCCACTCGACCACCTTTGCTTCATTGCCTTACTTTTTCGGAGCACTATGAAAAGTAATCGATTCATCAGCACCACTGTCAATTAATAAATGTGCTCGTTGATATAAGGACTCTGATTACAGATGAATCCTAAAATGACAGTACTATAGCCTTCCTTTCTTCAGCTTTAAGGAAAGCAGATATCTTTGTGGTCGGATCATCCACGGGCAAAAATCCTTAACTACAGGTTCTGGTTTTGCACTCAGCTACCATTTTCGGTTCGAAGCACTAAATAAATGACTTTAGTGAAGGCGTTTCAGGGAACTCGAAAATCTGCGCTAATTTACTTATGGGCACTTTATTAATGACTATTTTTACAATTCCTTACTAGTACCGACCGGCAGAGTCCAACCTGGGACTCTAATCGGCTTTGGTACTGTACGATGGTGCACAAATATATCAGAACTGAAAACTCGGTTGACCTCTTACCCGGCTTTTACAGAGTTATCCCCTTTGTAGTACAATATTCTACAGGAAGCAACAGTTGTGGCTGATAAGAGGCTGCTGCTAACGGAAATTCACTGAGGCCGAACAGAACAGAACCTGTTTGATCGAGGTTTTCATGTGTGATACGGGCCGTTTGACCCACCTTCGCATTTATTAGAGCTAAACTATGAACCCATCTCAAGCTCATTCTCCTGATGAAGATAAACTGTTGCTGGCAACAACTTGCAGGTTGAGATCAAAGTAATTCTCATTGATGAAATGATAACCAGTCAGCCCAGTTACTCAGTTACCAGCAGTAATCTAGCAACGTTCTCTTTCACGATATGTCTTTATCTATCACTCCTCAGCACAGATGAGAAACTAATAGGTTAACAAACGTGAGCCATTTGCTGATATTATACTAAAGGCCAACTTTATTTGCGTGAACGAGACGATACAAACCAAATGACTTTTTTCGAAACTAACTCCTTCATAAAGAAACTCTCCT